ATGAAGAGTTGGGTATGACTGAAAGATTGGACAATAACAAATTGACCGACTGATTGATTGTAAGACTAGTGGGAAATAATTTAGCACAGATGAAAAAAGCCTTGGCTCAGGAGCACAAGGACCTGGGTGAATTCAAATCTACCCCTGATGTTTTCCTAGCGGTATGACTTTGAGAAAGTCACTTACTTCCCTGGGCCAAAGCTTCCTTAGCTCTAAAAGGAGAGAGACTGTACTAGAATGGCCTCAGCGGCTCTGTCCAGCTCTAGGGCTCTGATCTCTGAGCACTCAAATAATTCTGATGGAAAGGGAAGCTCTTCATTCTGCTTTTCTCATGCTTCCTCATCTCCTTGTTCTGTAATAAATAAGAACGCTTTAAACATTTTCACAGATGTTGTCTGGTGTGACTCCCACAACAATGCTGTGAGGTTCACAGGGCAACTATTATTATCCCAACTTATAGATAGTAAAACTGAAGCTGAGAGGGATTGGGCTAGCTGCCTAAAGTCACACAGCAAGTAAAAGGCAAAGCTGGGACGAAAACCTCAGCTCTCCTGACTCTTGTGCCTGAGATCTTTCAACTTACACCATCGGTTTGTAGGATCAAAGATTTAAAGCCAGAAAGCACTTTAGAAGTGACTGAGGCCCACTGCCTCATATTACAGATGAGGAAACTGAGGCAGAGAGAGGATAAGTGATTGGTTCAAGGTCCTATAGCTGGTTGAGATCTCAGGTAGGATTTGAACCTAGCTCTTCTTGATTCCAAGGGCAGTGATCTGTATACTATACCACATTGCTTATCAAGTATGCATCAGTTCTGTTCAGAGATCAGAGACAACCAATCAGTGAACCAATTAGCATTTAATAAGTGCCTACTGTATTCTAGTCTGAGGCATCGAGGTGAGGCATGGAAAGAGAGCTGGGCTTTGTAGTTAGGAAGACTTGTCTTCTTGAGTTCAAATCTCAGAATGCTTACTGGCTGTGTCACCCTGGACAAGTCATTTAACTTTTTTGCCTCAGTTTCCTCATCTGTAAAATGAGCTAGAGAAGGAAATGGCAAACTGCCCCAGTATCTTTGCCAAGAAAACCCCAAATGGGGTATCAAAGAGTCAGGCATGACTGGAAATGACTAAATAACAACCAAAAAAGTTCTGGTTAGAAGTGATTTTATTATTAAATTTATTATTATTATATATTATTAAAGGCCTACCATGTTCCAGGCATTGTGCTGAGTGCTAAGGCTATAAAAGCGAAAGGCAATTCCTTTCCTCAAGAACCTGCCAGTCTAAGGGGTGGGGGAGACAACAGGCGGACAACCATGTGCAAAGAAGCTCTATGTCCAGGGTAGATTGGAGAGAACCATCAGAGAGAAGGTTCTAGAATTGCTGTTGTTACTGTTCATTCTTCGTTTTTGTCGAGAAGTGCCAAGCATTGGGTCAGCAAATGCTGAAGTAAGTGAGCTCCAACCCTCCAGGCATCCTCTCAGAGGAGGGAGGATTGGACATGTTCAAACATAAACACAGAGATAAACAAAATAATTACAAAGTGATAGGAGAGTGCACTAACAACTGGAAGGAATCGTGGAAGGCTTCTTGAAGGAGGTGACCTAATGAAGAGGGATTAGATTTTTCTTGTCTTCGTGGCATTAAAAGGCAAAACTTCAATGATAGGAGGAACTTTCAGGGAAGTAGATTTAAGCTCAAATTAGGGGAAAACTCCCTAACCATTTGAGCTGTTTTCAAAGTTGCTGTGGGCCTGGAGGTCCATGAGCTGAAGCAGGAAGGGGACATTGTCAAGATGGCTCCTGTTCGGCTGTGGATTGTACTAGTTTGACCTTCAAGCTCCCTTTTAACAAGGAGATTCTGTGATTCTGATCCCCAGCGCCCTGTTGGTGCCCAGTCCATATCTGTCAGTTCTTCCAGCCCAATACCTTGTGCCATGTATATCTGCAGTGCTGTGTAATTAATATATTGATGTCTAGAGGTCATGAAGTGATGGAGAAGGAGTCTCAGGTCTGCCAGATATTCTTGTATGAATCTGAAAGATTCATTTAACTTCACCGTCAAATGAAGGAGCTGGGCTGAGGTCTCTGAGGACATTTCGTATTCTAAGAGTCTATGATTCTTTGATGAACTGGAGTTACTACAAGATCCTCAATCATCAAAGGAAGAAAGAAAGGTCTATTTGCAATGGGGCTCCTTTCCTCCCTTACCTTCCCCTGCCCCTCTTCCCCCTGACCCCAGATGCCCAGAATCTGTCTGGGCTGTTGGACTGCTCATGCAGCTTGGATGAGGTGGAAGTCACCACCTCCATTCCTTCAGGTGAGATGGAGGACCTCCAACCTTACACTTGCCTTGCCCCTGCCTCATAAGGTCCTCTGGGCCTTATTACCTGCCCTGGCTCTGAGCCCTGTAGACCCCTGGCACTGTTATCTGACCTACGTGAAATGACCTAAGGACCCCTGGGCCTGGCCAGCAGCCCCTCTGCTTCACCCTTAGCACTTTGGGGCTATTCTGTCTGCCCTACAGCTGAACTTTAATGATATGTTGTCTCTTCCAATTAGAATGTAAGCTCCTTGAGAGCACCTACTCTCACTTTTTCTATTTGTATCCTTAGAGCTTATCATAGCACTTTGTACATAATAACCTAGTAACTTAATGGATGTTTTCTCATTCAATCATGCATTCATACACTGGACTTACCAAGACATAGTAACCTAGTAGCTTAGTAGATGCTTTCTCATTCATTCATTCAATCATTCATTCATACACTAGACTTACCAAGACCTAGTAACTTAGGAGATACTTTCTCATTCATTCATTCAATCATGCATTCATACACTAGACTTACCAAGACCTAGTAACTTAGGAGATACTTTCTCATTCATTCATTCAATCATGCATTCATACACTGGACTTTCCAAGACATAGTAACCTAGTAACTTAGTAGATGCCTTCTCATTCATTCATTCATACACTGTACTTACCAAGCCAATTTAGAAATGTTTTTACCAGCAAGGGCATGAAACTGGAAGGGTGTTCTGGGTAACTCAGTTTAGCAGAAAACCCACTTAACTGGCCCTGACTTCCAAGCTCATCCAAGCTATGTTGGATTTTCCCATTTTTTTAGAGGAGAACCTCTTTGTGTAGTTCATCTCACCAGTGAAAGCAAGTCAGGTGACCAAGTCTGAAAGTAACAGGGCTGGAAATTCCAAAGTGGAAACCCAGTGGTATCTCAAGGAAAATGTGTAATAAAAAGCTAATCAATCTTGAACTAGAAGGGACCTTAGAGAACATCTTTACAGATGAGGAAACTGAGGCTCAGAGAAGTTAAGCAGCTTGCCCCAGCTCATACAAGACCCTCAGTTGTCAAAGGAAGACTGAGGAATATTCATTATATGTGTGTAACAGAGCTGGGATTCAAATTCTGGGCCCACTGGTTCCAAATACAACTTTCTTTGCATTAAATCTGCCTCAGTAAAAAATGGAAAATGGGACTGATCTGGTGACTGCCCCGGTGTCCACCGATGGAGTCCAGGAAATTAAACTAACGGGGAAAATGATGACAGATTTCTAGTCCTTCATTTTACTAATCATTTTAGGCAGATTTAGAGTCTCGTGACTTGGAGAGTCATTCAGATAATGTTCGGCTCCATCACCCACTGATTGATTCATTTATTCTGCAGCTACTTATTAAGCGCCTACTGCATGCAAAGCACTGTGTTGGGTACTGGGGGAGATAATTGAAGACTTCACTTCTTCACTCTTGTTCCTAATTGGATACATCCCTGATACTGCCATCCTCCTTTCATAGGGCTCCCCATTTTTGTTATGTCTTTTTAGTCACATTGGGCTTTTCGTGACCCCATTTAGGGTTTTCTTGGCAAAGTTACTAGAGTGGTTTGCCATTTCCTTCTCCAGCTCATTTGACAGATGAGGAAACTGAGGCAAAAATAAGTTAAATGACTTGTGCAGGGTCACACAGCTAGTAAGTGTCCGAGACCAGATTTGAACCCAGGTCTTTCTGGCTCCAGGCCCATCACGCTATTCATTGCACCACCCAGCTGCCCCCATTGCCTGCCAAGTACAGTACAGATTCTGAAATCTGGCAGTGAGAAGCTTTCACTCTCTGTTTAAAATCTACCACTCTACCCTTATTTTATACTATTCTTTATTGTTGGTATTTTACACCAAAATGGCAGCTAGGTGGTGCAGTGGATAGAGTGCAGGACTTGGACTCAGAATGACCTGAATTCAAATCCAGACTCAGACATTTATTATATCACCTTTGACAAGTTAATAAACTGCTGTTTGCCTCAGTTTCCTCAGCTGTAAAATGGGGATAACAGTAGCACTCACCTCCCAGGGTTATTAGGAGAATCAGATGAGATAACGTGGTAAAGCCCATTAAATAATTTCTGGCACATGGTATATAAAAAATTGAGGGAAGGGTTATAATTGAAAGAGCGCTGGTTCTAGAGTTAAGGACCTGGGTTCAAATCTTGCCTCTGATCTTATCTGGATGACCTTGATCAGATCACTTAAGCTCCGTTCTGTAAAATAAGGAGGTTAGACCTCAAGACCTTGAAGGGCCCGGCCAGCTCTCAATATATGATCCTACCTGCTAACCCTCACCCTGTCTTTTATAGATGAGAAAACTGAGAAATTTCTTTCCAAAGAAAGAAAATTGTTTTCACCCAGTCATAGAACTAATATCTAAGCAGAGCCAAGATTCAAACCCATGGCCTGTGGTTTCAAACCCAGCATGCTTTTCACTCCAACATGTGCCTTTGGCTGCCCTCTGTTCTTATGGCTAATGAGTCTTCTCTGGCAAAGTAAATTAGGGCTCAAGGGCATATGGTTGAGGATCTTCAAGTGGGATTGAAGCCACCATGGGGCTGAGGATGACAATGGTGCCTGGCACAAGACGGAAAGAGAGAGTCTTAGGTGTAAAGAGGAATCCTCCAGTGGTTTACCACATCTGATCATCTCCTTTTCTTACAGGCTTCTTCCTCTTCCCTTGAGACTTCGATTACTACAAAGCCCCCTGTCAAGGATGTAGATGTACTCCCAGGGGCACCAGACAACCTGGACAGAAACAACAGGACAGCACAGGAGGCCATCTCCAGCTCCAACCAATGCCAGCTGAGTGGAATGGATACAGAGAGCGCCGACCTTGGAGGCATAAGTAGGTGCCTTTTCACAAGTGTCTTGGGTAGAGATTAGGACAGGACTGTGGTGATGGAGGAATTTGCACGGACCTCCCAGAAGTCTATAACTACAGACTTTTCTGACCATATGGGCAGACATTACCCAGACCATCTCTGGTTCTACAGGGAAGGAGCAGTGACTGGAAGCTGATTCTACCTCCCTGGACTCAGAGGTCTTAGACTGTTTATTACTAGGCCAAAGGGGAGCCTCACTCTGGGACAGCCCAGTGCACCCCTTCCCCCCAGGATCAAAAGCATTTAATTTGATTTATATTTCAGTGTTTCCAGTATAGTATGAGGGTAACCTAATCGCTGACCCCCCCCTTCCCAATTTCCTTGGGAAAATTCCAGAGTAGCTATTGAGAGGCCATAAAATGAGTCTCCATCAGTAAGGGCTTTGGAGAAGGCAGCTGGAGGTGGGGACTTATGTCTCCTTCCTGGCCAGTGGATTGGAGTTAAAAATCCCCGCCTTTGCTGCTCTGGATTCCCCCCACCAAGTGGTGTTTGTTTAGCAACAGGAGCTGGTGCCAGTGAGCAGAAGGGGAGCAGGAGGGGATCTTGAGGGTGGTCTGGGAGGCATAAGGAACACCAAAGAGGTGATGGATCATACCCTGACACTCAAAGCAGCTCTGGAATGGCCAGTTTTGAGGGCCCATTAGGTCTTAAGGCCACTCCCAGGGTCACAGCTGTGATGTGTGATAGAGTTTGGAAGTCTTTGAGAAGTAACATGCCAAAATTCTGACCTTTCTGATGAATGGAGAGGGAGAGCGCTAACCACTGGATGGGAGATAAAATTGAGGATAGAAACCATATAGATTGGTAGATGCAGGGATGAGTGTGCCAACCACCAGCTGTTCTAGGAGAATAGGAAGATGATGGAGAGAAGGTGAAATATGCTATTGGCTCTTTGCCAGCCACTGACTCTGAAGGGGCTTGTGAGTACTGGCTGAGGATTTGAGTGGGTATCAGGACCAGTTCGCAAAGCAACAGAAGAGGTAGCAGTGGGCATTAGCCAACATGCCAATGAAAGCAATTGGCTGATGTCAGAGAATTATAACATTAGCTCTTATAAGGATTTTAGGGTCAACTAGTTCAGCCTTCTTCTCTTTCTTGTTTCTCTTGTTTTTTTATTTATTTTATTTCAATTTATGGAATAAAATAAGCATTTCCATAACACAGTACAATAAAAAAAAATGATTGTACGTGAAACTGCAGACAAGGAAACTGAGCCCCTGAAAGCCCAAGAGACTTTCCTACAGCCACACAAATAACGTGGGAGCAAATAGTGGAGCGAGGATGTGAACTTGGTCATATAGTAAGGTTCTCTCTGTCTCCGCCTAGATGTCCCAAAGATGTCTTAAACTCAGCATGTCCAAAACAGAACTCATCTTCTCTTCTGTGCCTACTCTTGCTCTAAAATGCTTTAGAGGCAGCTAGGTCTTGTAGATAGGATGCTGCTTTGGCATGAGGAAGACCCGAGTTCAAATCTAGCCTCAGAATGCTTGGTTGGTGGTAGTTGTCCTTCATTCTCTAAAAGAACCAAAATGATTTCATTATGTTAGAGGCAACATACAGTGTGTTCAACTGTGGCTGATCAGACCAATACAAGCTTGGTAGGCTCTGCCTTAGGTCTGGCCCAAATAGCCCATATGAACATTTGGAGTGGAGATGTCTCTGAATTGCACGTCTCATGTTTCTTTTGAGCTACTGCAATTCTGCTTTGCTTATAGAGCACAGCACCTTCTTTGATGTGGGCACTCCATGCTGTCCAGTCCTTTGCTAGAAACTCCCATGTCATGCAGTCAATCCAGAGTTCTTCAGAGAGACCTTGAGAATGTCCTTATATTGCTTCTTCTGACCTCCATATGAGTGCCTTCCTTGTGTGAGTTATGTGACCCTGGGCAAGTCACTTAACCTCTGTCTGACCTGGTTCCTTCATCTGTGAAAGGAAGATAATGATAATACCCACCTCCCAATGTTGGCGTGAGGATCAAGTGATATAGAAAAAAGCTGTGCAAACCTTAAGCTGGTTATTAGTGTTATTGTGGCTCATCCTCCAGATTCACATCCTCAGAGTCACCCTCGACTCTCCCCTCTTCCTCCCTCGTGTCCAATCATTTTCCAAGTCTTGTTCATTCCATCTCCACAAAATCTCCCATCTGGAGCCTTCTTTCCACTCTCAGGGCTACAATCCTGGTGCAGGTTCTTTTCATCTCTCTCCTGACCTTGTACAGCAGCCCCCTAATTCATGTTTTTGCTTCCAGTGTCTCTCCCTTCTCCAATCTGTCCCCCGTACAGCTAGCAAATGACTATTGCTAAAATATGACTTCACCGTGTCACTCCCTTGCTCAAAAAATCTTGCTTCTAGAAAAGATACAAACTCCTCACATCTAGTTTCAACTTTCCTTTCCATGCTGATTTCAGACTACTCCAATCATTCTCCCTTCCAGCCAAAATGGTGTCCCGGTTGTCCCTTAAACTCAACATTCCATCTCCCATCTTGCTCTGGCATGATTTGTCTTTCTGACTGAAATGTGCTCTCTCCTCCAGTGTTTCCTGATTCCTGTCCATCCCTGCCTCCCCTCCCACATATTAGTATTTTCTCCCACCTCCTTTATCTTGTATTTATTTCTCTGTCTACATATTGTGTTCCTTGGGCTTCTAAAATGCTAGCTCTTTGAAGGCAAAAAAACGGTTTCAGTTTATAGCTCTTTGTCCTCCCAGGCTCTAGTATAATATGTTGTATTCAACAGATGTTTAATACATGTTTGTTGAATTGAATTCTTTAATGGCTAACTTCTTACATACAACTTTTCCAAGATCCTCTGGTGGCCAATGAGAGGCAAGTGATATTATAGAAAGGGCATTGGACCTGGAATCAGTAGAGGCCTGGCTGGGTGGGCACGGGCATTAATTTCTCTGCACCTCCTTTTCCTCCTCTATAAAATTACATTAGGGTCTGTAGTACCTGTACCTCATAGGATTGTTTTAAGACACATGAAATGCTTTAGACAACTTAAAAACTCCATATCAAAATTAGCTGCTGCCATAATGAACCACCCAACCTATCCAAGGCCTTTACAGTAGGGTCTTGTCTTAGCTTCTGAGAATATTCCATGAAGTTGTACTTTGATGTTCTTGAGTCTATTTACCTAATCTTATCTTCCCACTGCCTGGTCACCTGCTTAATCTGGTAGCCCCACAGCTCCATGAGGGACTCTATCTATGGCAGGAGTTTTTCACCTTTTTTTGTGTCCTAGGCCTTTTGGCTCTTGGGTGAAGCCTGTGGACCCTTTCTCAGAATCATGTTTTTAAATGATTGAAGGAAATTCTAAATTTCAGTGAGAGGCTAATAAAAATAAAGATATATATTTTTTTTCCCATTCAGATTCACAGACCCCCTGAAATCTGTCTGTCCCTGGTCTGTGACAAAAGCCACAGTTATCTGCCTTCTAAACAGCTAGCATATCTGCTCTGCCTTGTTTCATTGCTCACCACTTGACCACTTCCTGTCCACTCCCCGGAGACCAATTTCTCTCTCTTTCTTTCTCTCCCTCTCTCTTTCTGTCTGTCTCTGTCTCTCTCTGTCTGTGTCTGTCTCTCTGTCTGTCTCTCTGTCTCTCTCTCTCCCTTTCAGTCTTCACAGTCTGCTTATTTTAAAGCAAAGCCCCCAAACCACCTGGTAGGAAAACTGAAACCTGAGCCCCAGAACTCATTTGGTTCTGGCTCCTAGTCACCCTTGAACGACCATCAGCAGTCAGGAGGGACTGCATTCATCAGGAAGATGGAGAGTGGAGTTTGGAGATGGAATCTGCCCACCCTGTCATCCGTCCTCCCCAAGGGGGGTGCACTAAGGTCAGCCCATCAAAGAGGCCAAAGGTCAGGCTTTCCATAGCTCTCATCCAAAGAATTAGAGGAAGGTGCCTCTGAGCTCTTGGAGGTGATCCCTACCTGGGACATCCTCTTCTTAGATCAGTAAAGGACCTTAGGCAGTGGGGCTGATTGGTGGGCAGGGAACAGATAGAGCCTGGTTCAAAGTAAAAGCTGCTGCTTCTTTTTATCTCATGCAATTTCACATCTGTCCTCCTAGCTGTTGCCCTTGGGCAGGGTTGTAAGAGATGCTGGTCCTGCCCTAATTGTGATGAATTGTCATAGGTATGAGTAAAGTTGAATTCAATCAATATTTATTGAGTACTTACTTCAATATGGGCATCTAGGTGACTCAGTGGATGGAGTGCTGGTCCTCGAGTCAGGAAGACTCCTCTTCCTGAGTTCAAATCTGGCTTCAAACACTTACTAGCTGGACAAGTCACTTAACCCTGTTTGCCTCAGTTCCCTCATCTATAAAATGAGCTAGACAAGGAGGTGGCAAACCACTCCAGTAAATTTATCAAGAAAACTCCAAATGAGGTCATGAAGAGTCAGACATGGCTGAAATGACTGAACAAGAAAACTTATTTCCATGTACCAGGCACTGCCCTAGATACTGCAGGTGGAGGGCACCGACAAAACAGCCCCTACTCCCCTCAAGAAGCTCAAGTTCTACATACAACATATGCAGCAATAAGTCTAGTGTCCTGAAAAATTATGTTCTTCAGAAATGGTGGTATTACATGACTGCCCGTCATACAACATCACTGGGAAAATGTGCTTGTTAAAAAGGTGGACCTTTGTTATAGGCAGAAGCTTAGGGTCAGAAGGAGCATGGGATAATTTCCCACTCTTGTTCCCCTGCACAGCTCTGGTCTCAGCTCATTGTCCATGCCAAGTGTCTTCCTGAGAAATGCATGCCCATAGACAAGCTCTGTAGGTTATCAGTCCGACTATACATCACAATCTTGACAATAGGCATTCTTCATTTGCTTGGTTTTTCCTATACGGAGAGTTGGGCCAAACACTTCTGAGTGATTATGAACCTCACTGAGGAAGGTTTCCTGTGTTCTGGGTCACCCCAAGGTCTTCATCCACGTGGTAGACT